GAAATATATATTAACTTTAACTCTATCTTTAAAACTAGAAATAATCAGTATACATATTTAAAAACTATATACATAAAATAGTTTAAACATTTGCACGTAAATAACCATATAGGATATAGCGTGTGTTTTGTAATGAATAATAAATAATAATATATATTGATATATAACACTTAAGCATTGTAAAATATATTTGTTATTTATGAATGTAAATTCGCATGAAAAGGTTATTCATTCCATTTATAATTTATTGAGTATATTCATATAATGAATTTTACACTAATAAATGCGATTTTATACTTTTTATATCCGCAAAATATGGCTGATTAACCATTGTGACTGTAAATTATTCACAAATCAAAATGCCAAAAATGGTAATTGAGTATATATCATTGTGAATAATTACACAAGGTAATAAAACCAAATCCAAATAAATAAATAGTGTGTGACGTTTCGATAACAGCGTTGTTACCATCTTCAGACAAAAGTACTGAATGAGAAATTTTACAACAGCATGTTTTAAATAGTTACTGTTATCAAGTGTGTAAACAAGATAGTAGATAAGAAGAAGATAGTTTTCTGAGAAAGAAGCACAGAATATTATTTTTAGAATTAAAACTTCTTCTTATCTGTTATCTTGTTTACACACTTGATAACAGTAACTATTTAAAACATACTGTAGTAAAATTTCTCATTCAGTACTTTTGTCTGAAGATTGTAACAACGCTGTTACTGAAACGTCACACACAGTTTATTTTTTTTTGGATTTGGTCTTATTACCTTGTTTTTATAATCTATAAAACAAATTGTGTCTTATCATTGTATATTCGTTTAATTTTACTCCGCACCGTGTTTCCCTCTCTCAAATATAATTTTGTTTGCGTTGTAATAATTAAATTGATATATGTATCTTTAAAAAATATTTATGCATAAAATAATATTTTTCTAAATCATAATTGAGTTCACAAAATATATACAAGCACAACGCTTTATATTATTTTTATGAAACATGTATTTTATTAATATATATTTTATATAACGTATATAATATATTATATTTACTATTTTATTTAATTAATAAATGTAAAAATAATTTATATATATTTTAAAATATTCTTATAAATATTGGTAAATTGATTTTTATATGTTACTAGCGGACGTACCCGGCTTCGCCCGGGTTTTACCCGAGTAAAGATTTGTCTAACGAATCTCTCGATAAAGTGAACATTTTTTTCCCGGTCCCTTGAAAAATACTCGATAGGTTGAATAAAATCAATATTAATTGGTTCCCTCGGTAATTGGAAGTTAAAGGAATAGTATCTTGCCTTGGAATTGTATCATTATTCTTGTATGGATGTACCCGGCTTCGCCCGGGTTTTACCCGAGTAAAGGTTTGTTTAACGAATCTCTCGATAAAGTGAACATTTTTTTCCCGGTCCCCTGAAAAATACTCGATAAGTTGAATAAAATCAATATTAATTGGTTCCCTCGGTAATTGAAAGTTAAAGGAATAGTATCTTGCCTTGGAATTGTATCATTATTCTTGTATGGATGTACCCGGCTTCGCCCGGGTTTTACCCGAGTAAAGGTTTGTTTAACGAATCTCTCGATAAAGTGAACATCTTTTCCCCGGTCCCTTGAAAAATACTCGATAAGTTGAATAAAATCAATATTAATTGGTTCCCTCGGTAATTGGAAGTTAAAGGAATAGTATCTTGCCTTGGAATTGTATCATTATTCTTGTCTCAAATAAATTGCCGTGTCATCCTGAATTTTGTCTTTCATAATTTTCTACGTTACAAAATCATCGTATCATCATGATAATATTTAGAGCAGATTGTTGAATTATAACAGATAAATTAGAATATTTATCTTGATTATTTCTAGGCGAAAAGTTATTTCAAAAATTTTATTTGCTAGAAACCTTCCCAGTACTATACTAAATAACTTCCCAAAGTTTCATGGCGTTCCAATGAGTGGTTTGGTCAGGCATAAAGGACAAAAAAACAAACAGACACACATACATTCATTTTTATATATATATATATATAGAAAGAGAAAAGATGGAGATGCTGGGTATAGATCCCAGTACCTCTCGCATGCTAAGCGAGCGCTCTACCATCTGAACTATATATCCCCTTATAGCTCAGATGGTAGAGCGCTCGCTTAGCATGGGAGAGGAACTTGGATATATACCCAGCATCTCCAATAAAGAGAGAGAAATAATAATTTCTACATATTTTTTCTTTTCTTAAATCAATACACCATTTAAAATTTTAGTTTATAATTTATTCTGGTCTGAAAATATATTTTTTTATTCAGTGGATTCACAAGGAAACCCAGATGGTGAGTTTTATTAATTGTTATTAAATCCATAAGTACACAATAATTTTTATGTAAAAAAAACGATATTTTTTTAAATATATGTTTTGATTCATATTACAATATATATCGATGATGCTAATCATTTATATGAATAGGGAATGTTTTCAATTGCCATTTGTGAATTTATGAACGAAATAAATTTATAAAATAAAAAATATATAGAAAATTTTAAAATATAAATTTTAAATATATAATAACACATCCAATCTGAAAGCATATCATTAAACATCATTTATTCATTTTCTAGTCAACATTTTTGAAACGTTGACAAATTAAAATTGCCTCTATATGAGATTGTGCACCTCTGAATAACAGAATTGTGCATGTTAATAAAATAATTCATATAGAATATTTAATAAATCCCATTTGTTCAAAATATTGGAACTATATTGTTTATACTATTTTTACATATCTTATATTTGTATCCTAGGACATCCTCATGGAAATAGCCATGGTAAATATATATAAATATTATATAATAAAAAAGCATATATTGGATTTAATAAAATATTTATTTTCCAATATTTCGGGTGGCTGAATTCCAAGGCATTACATTTTTGTATAAACAAACTCTGTTTGCTTGAGTTTGTTTATACAAAAATGTAATGCCTTGATAAAGGTTTGGCGTTCAGCCAACCAAAATATTGGCAAATAAATATTTTATTGATCCAATATATGCCTTTTTATTATCTGATGAATTAAATATGGATTGCTCTATTTTCAAAATAATATATAAATATGTTTACTTAAAATAATTTTATTTATAAAGGTATTTTAGAAAAATAATTGAACCGTTTGGAATGTGTTTCTATATTGGTATGGAATGTTTTGGGCATTTATTTTCTTTATGGAGGCATGTCCATCTAAGGGATATATTTATAGAAGAACAATGAAATATTTAATGTTCACTATACCAATATATTTTTACCTTCTTATTTTATATTTTTACAAATATTTTAAAGCTATTCTAATATTTTTTAAAGATATTTTCATTTACGATTTTAGATTTGATATATTTTGATATATCTATACAAATCTATAATTATTTTAATATACCTATTTTTAGGTGGGTAGAATTATATAAAATTTATATTGTAATAATGTGATTATTTATATGTTTTTTGAAATAGATTGTGTGTTTACATACCCTGAATTTTTTTTTAATTTTCAGAGGAATACAGTAAATCTGAGGTATCAGGAGGTAAGACTTACAATTTTTACTGTATACATATATAATTAAATATATATGTTATATTAAAATATTATTTTATTTAAAATTATATTTCATAGATTCAAATACTCTGGTAAATTAGCCACCAGAGGTCACGCTTCCCCTATAAAAACTCATTGTTGTTGTTTCCCGACGGCCGGCTCAAATACTTTGTAAATTATGTAAATATGTTTTTAATTTTTTTTATTCTTACGCCTTAAGCCAGGCAGTACTTTTATCGAATCATGTTTTCTTTATTCCATAAGTTCAATTAAAGCAATCTCTGATTAAAACTATTTTTAGTATTATACTTTCAAGATTTTGACCACGACTGCATTACCATAACATAATCTCAACAATTCCAAAATCAAACAGAAATCTCATTTTTTTATATAACATATATATATTTTTATACCTTTGAATGTGTATGTGAATGTGTGTAATAATAAATATGTATAACAATATATAAAATATAATATGAATGTTAAATTTATATGCAAATATCAGTGAATTTGCTAAAGTGACTGAAATAATAAAATGAATATTTACATAATAGCTTGAATAATAAATAAATTTACTTATTAATATTTTTGTTATATATATATATACAATTATTTACCAATAGAAATGCATTCATCGACAAAACTTAAGGAAGTTGTATCTTTTAATTTTTTTTATTTATTGTTACAAAAGCACGAAGTCCAAAGGACTATTGTGCTGTGCTAGTATTATTTACATATATATGATTAATTACACAGGTCTACAAAACTCAAAGTAGTTGTACCTTATAGCATATATATATCGGGATTCAGAAAAAAAACTCTGAGAGATATTTGATGCACAGGGATATTTATCACTGTGCATCAAATATCTCTCAGAGTTTTTTTTTCTGAATCCCGATATATATATGCTATAAGGTACAACTACTTTGAGTTTTGTAGACCTGTGTTATTTACACGATGGATTAGTATTGTTTTGTAAATTATTGTACAAATAGTTCTAAACTTAACAAAGTTCTCATAAGATAGAGTATATACACAAAGAGAATTTGGTAATATTTCAAAGTATCTACATACAATTTGATTAGTCAGAGGGCAAGTTAAAAGAAGATGCTCTGGTGATTCAACATCTAAGCTGTTTTGTTTCTTCAAGGAATCGGGCTACGATGGTGAACACTTCTTTATTTAAGAACGGAACTTTCTAACTAACTGACAACATCCAATTGTCTCTATTTATAACCTAACTCGAGCGTCTATATGCAAAACCATATTTACATATTTACATCTGAATATGTACATTTACATCACATCTCCCCTCTTAGAGATTAGCTCTAGACCTCTCCAAAACGTCTGGGCGGACGAACTGTTCTTCCAGGAGATGTTGATGATCCGGCCACATCCGCAGCAGCATCCGAAGTGTGTGGGTTGGCCTCCGGGCAATTCACATATGGCTCCCCGTTAAGGTCCGTCAGCCAAACTCGATCCTTTACTTCCAATGGAGGCAGTTCTCGTACTCCTGCGCCCTTAGGCTTCGCTTCAGAATCCTTTACTACGTCGCCCTTAGGCTCCTCTTCAGAATCCTTTACTCCCTTTCTTCAATAGCATTCACAACACCTATTATAAGGGAGCAGAACAAGCTTCCTTTGATTTGCCATAGTGATCCGAATTGTCACTCCGCACCTTCAAAGGAATCCCACAGGAACCACAATTTTACTTTTGTACTATTTCACTTTTGTACAATTTTACTTTTGTACAATTTTACTTTTGTATAATTTTACTTTTGTACAATTTTACTTTTGTACTATTTCACTTTTGTACAATTTTACTTTTGTACAATTTTACTTTTGTACAATTTTACTTTTGTACAATTTTACTTTTGTACTATTTCACTTTTGTACAATTACACTTTTGTACAATTACACTTTTGTACAATTACACTTTTGTACAATTACACTTTTGTACAATTTTACTTTTGTACTATTTCACTTTTGTACAATTTTACTTTTGTACAATTTTACTTTTGTACAATTACACCTTTGTACAATTTTACTTTTGTACTATTTCACTTTTGTACAATTTTACTTTTGTACAATTTTACTTTTGTACTATTTCACTTTTGTACAATTTTACTTTTGTACAATTACACTTTTGTACAATTACACTTTTGTACAATTTTACTTTTGTACTATTTCACTTTTGTACAATTTTACTTTTGTACAATTTTACTTTTGTACAATTTTACTTTTGTACTATTTCACTTTTGTACAATTACACTTTTGTACAATTACACTTTTGTACAATTTTACTTTTGTACTATTTCACTTTTGTACAATTACACTTTTGTACAATTACACTTTTGTACAATTTTACTTTTGTACTATTTCACTTTTGTACAATTACACTTTTGTACAATTACACTTTTGTACAATTACACTTTTGTACAATTTTACTTTTGTACTATTTCACTTTTGTACAATTACACTTTTGTACAATTACACTTTTGTACAATTACACTTTTGTACAATTTTACTTTTGTACTATTTCACTTGTGTACAACTACACTTTTGTACAATTACACTTTTGTACAATTTTAACTTTTGTACAATTTTCACTTTTGTACAATTTTCACTTTTGTACAATTTTCACTTTTGTTCAGAATTCAAAGTTTCTTTGCATTCTTCATTTGGACACGTTATAGGATCTTCAAGTTTCTCAGAAGAAAGATGTTCACTCACATGACCGATCCAGCAGGTCTTACATAGCCTGTGACATGGCAAACCAATTTCTTCCTTGTTTAACTTGCATTTTCTACAATATTTCGTATCCGTGTATTTCACCTTTCCTACTTCAATATTGAGTAATTCAAGAATTCCTTTTGAAACGTCATCAAAATTAAATCCTTCGGCTAACTCTTTTTCGAAATTTGCTCGATTATCAGACTCTGCAGCTACTAAGTTGGATTCAATAGGATCTTCCCAAGTTTTTAAATCAGCTTTTATGCACGAGCCTTGTTTGTTCGATTCCTCTAAATGTCTTTTGGAGAGTTGTTGACTTTCTGCCGCCTTCTCAGAATCTTCCAGATTGACTGCCTTTTCTAAAGCTTCGGGTCTTAAGACTTCTTTCTTCAAGATTTCTGGCCATTCCATATATGCCGATGAACTGTACTTTCCATCGTCGTCTTCGGATTCCTTGAAGTCTTCTAAGCACAGAGAATCGATGGGCTTCCCTTGGCTTCTTCTATTGAATTTTGCTCTTTCATAAATAACATTTCTTTTTCCTATGAAATAGTCCTGAAATTTGGACACCACTAGTTTATAGTCATTAATTTGCGCTTCACTTAAATTAAATAAGATCAAGATTTCTTCTGCTTTATCGCCCATTATGTAAATCAGAGCATTTACTTGCTCACTTTCACTTTTCTCTGAAAGTTCTGAAGCGATTCTGTATCTTTGAAATCTTTTGAACAATATCGGCCATTCATTAGGTTTGCCGAAATTGAATCCTTCTGGAGCAGCTACTTGTATATAATTAGCCATTTTTTCCTT